GTAGGCAAATTTTAAAACCAGATTTCAAAATGGAAGATATTAAAAGTATATAAAGCTATGGAGATATTCATATTTCAAAATTTCAAGGAATTTTTGAAAATCAATTTTTTCTTTTTTGTTTTTTCTGTCTTTCTTGGTACTAGGAATTAAACCTATGGGTGCTTAACCACTGAGTCACAGCCCTTTTTTATTTTTTTTATTTTAAGACAGGGTCTCGGGCTGGGGTTGTGGTTCAGGGATAGAGAGCTCAACTAGCACGTATAAGCCCTGGGTTCGATCCTCAGTACCATATAAAAACAAAACAGGTATTGTGTCCAACTACAACCAAAAATAAATATTAAAAAAAGACAGGGTCTCACTAAATTGATTAGGGTCTTGCTAAGTTGCTGAGGCTGGTTTCAAACTTGCAATCCTCCTGCCTCAGCCTCCCAAGTCACTGGGATTACAGATGTACACTACTGTGCCCAGCATAAAAGACAGTAATCTCAAAAGAAAAATGATCATGGGATATGACAGAAGATAAAACCAAAAGAAGATGGCCTGGGGGTATAGCTCAGTGGTAGAGCACTTACCTAACATGTAGGAGGCCCTGAGATCCATCCCTAATTAAAAAAAAGAAAGAAAGAAAGAAAGAAAGAAAGAAAGAAAGGAAGGAAATAAGAGAAACTTCAAAAGCCAAGCAAGTGCATGAAAAGATGACTGAATTCAATAATCAGAGAAATGTCAGTTAAACTGAGGGACCAATTAACACCTATTTGACTGTTAAACCTATGGGGCCTGGGTTGTGGCTCAGTGAGAGAGCTTGCATAGCATGCGTGAGGCACTGGGTTCAATCCCTGGCACCACATAAAAATAAAAAACAAATAAAATAAAGGTATTGTGTCCATCTACAACTAAAAAGAATATTTTAAAAACTATGAAAGCTAGAAAATGCTGGGCAAGGTGTTGCACACCTGTAATCCTAACAGCTCTAGAGGCTGAGGAAGAAGGATTGAGAGTTCAAAGCCAGCCTCAGCAACTTAGCAGGGCCTTAAGCATCTGTCTCTAAATAAAATATTAAAAAGGGCTGGGGACATTGCTCAGTGTTTAAGCACTCCTGGGTTCAATCCCCCAAATCCCTGGTACAAAAAAAAGGCACAGAAAAATGCTCAGGGAGGGTCAGTAGAGACCAAGGCCTGGGAATAGGAATGTAAACTGAAAGGGTCCCTCTAGAATAACATGATGTCCTTCACCAAGTGGAGGATTCAATACCCTCTGACTCCACTGGTTTGCTTCTGGGTGTACATCCCAAAGCACAATTCCTAGGGGTCCATCAAAGAGCAGTCTCTAGTGGTACAAAGAATTAGAGGCAGCCAGGGCCATCATCTATAAAGATAGGATAGTGCCAAAGGGCAAAATTGCAAAATATTTTTTTTGGTACTGGGGATTGAATTCAGGGTGCTTAACCACTGAGCCACATACCAAGCCCTTTTTACTTGTATTTATTTACTTACTTTTTGGTACTAGGGATTGAACCAAGGGGCGCTCAACCAACTGGCCATGTCCCAGCTCTTTTTATTTTTTCTTTCTAGACAGGGTTTTACTAAATTGCTTAGGGCCTCACTAAGTTGCTGAGACTGGCTTAGAATCTGGAGTCCTCCTGCCTCAGCCTCCTTGAATAGCCCTTTTTATTTTTAATTGAGACAGGTCTTACTAAATTGTTTAGGGCCTAATTGCTGAGGCTGACCTTGATCTTGTGATCATCCTGTTTTAGCCTCCCCAGTTACTGGGATTACAGGCACGTGCCCTGGCATCCAGTGAAAATCTGTGTGTTGGTGGTACTAGGGATTGAACCCAGAGATGCTCTACCACTGAGTGACAATGCCAGCCTTTTTTATTTTGTTTTATTTATTTTGGTACTGAGGTTTGAACCCAGGGACATTTAGCCACTAAGCCACATCCCTAGCCCCTTGCTAAATTGCTGGGCCTTGCTAATTTGATGAGGCTGGCTTTAAACTTGAAATCCTCCTGCCTCAGCCTCCTGAGTTGCTTAGATTACAGGCATGCACCACCACTCCTGGTCTAATTTCTTTTTGAAACATTTATTTTTTTAGTTGTAGGTGGACACATACCTTTATTTTATGTGGTGCTGAGAATCAAACCCACTGCCTCACGCATTCTATGCAAGTGCTCCAACTCTGAGCCACACCCCAGCCCTTCCTACGCCTGGTCTAATTTATTGTTTATTCTGAGATAAAGTCACACTAAATTGCCCAGCTAGCTTTGAACTTAAAATCCTCCTGTCTCAGCCTCCCAAGTTTTGTGATTATAGGAGTGTATCACCTTGCCCAGATCCATTTAAAATTTGTAATTGGCTTTAATTGTGACTCTAGAATTGGATAATACTTTTTTTCATAAAACCATAATTGTTCCAATGAGCTAAAGAAAGAAGGCTGGTTTATAGGTACAGAAAGGCTGAAGAAAACTGAAACAACAACAAAAAAATCAGATTGTTCATTTCAAAGTTACTTTTCTTGTACAGCAGGGACAGGGAGAAAGAACAGTGGAAAAATAACTGATTGGATTTGGGCCCAGTGGTGTACGCCTAAAATTCCAGCACTAGGGAGGATAAGGCAGGAAGACTGCAAAATCAAGGTCAGCCTCAGTAACTTTGTGAGGCCCTAAGTATCTTAGTGAGATCCTGTCTCAAAATTAAAAGCTAAAAAGGGCTGGGGATGTGCTTCAGTGGTAAATCGCCTCTGGGTTGAATCCCAAGTACCAAAAAAAAAAAAAAAAAAATTGGATATCAAGTTACTTTAGATTAACTTTTTGTGGAAGGATTAAGGCAAGTTGAAACTAAACTTTAAATCTGATCTACAAGAAATCAGGATCACAGAGATAAAAGCCAAATTTCTCAAAAAGGCTACTTTCAATTGGCATGATAATGTAATTCCCTCTGCCTTAATCTTTTTTTTTTTTTATATTTTTATTTTTTAGTATTTGGCGGACACAACATCTTTGTTCGTATGTGGTGCTGAGGATCGAACCCGGGCCACACGCATGCCAGGCGAGCGAGCTACCGCTTGAGCCACATCCCCAGCCAGCCTTAATCTTTACACACAGAAAAAAGTAACCTAAGGCCTAGGGATATAGATCAATGGTAGAGCACTTGCCTAAGTCACCTGGGGCCCTGGGTTCCTTCCCCAGCACCACAAGACAAAACAAAATGAAAAAAAAAAAAACTTTCACTAGTTAATGGCATAAATGGGGTTGAGAATGTAGTTAGGTCGTGGAGCACTTGCCTAGCAAGCACAGGGCCCCGGGTTCCATCTGCAACTGTAAAGACAACAATAAAGCCACTCCCAAGGCAAGGGCCTGAGGGCAAAGACCTCTTGAACCCAAACACCACCCAATGGTCCACCCTCAAATGCCATTAATATATGAATTTGGAGATTAAAATTCCAATACATGAATTTGAGGAACACATTCAAACAATAACAATACCCAAAGATTCTAATATCTGGAAATCAATTGTATACAAATGGAGGGATAGCCAGAGATGGAGAACATGAGGAGAGTAAGGGGGGGGGGGACTGTGGATGCACTGGAATGTCCCAGGAGAGGGCAGAGAAGTGACTGCTGCTTTGGCAAGATTGTTACTCATCAGTGATTTGGTTAACAGCAGTCTCAGTGACAGAGGCCGAACTGAATTAAGTTAAATATGGTCTGGGACATGAGGAAGTAGACATTGAAGGAAGCCAGAAGATTGGCTTTGCTGAGGAGTCAAATGCCTAGGAGGGTATATGGGGTCAAAGTGCACAGGTAAACATTTCCATGGCTGTTAATGATACATGAGCTGAAACAACCTAGATGTCCGTCAATGAGGGAACAGCTGAACAAAACTATATTTATAACATGAAATATCATGATCCAGTTAAAAAGATGAATTAAACAGATGTTCTTATAATTAATCAGGCATCAAAACAATACTTCAGGGACTGGGAATGAAACTCGGTGATAGAATGATTGCTTAGCACATGCATTGACCTGTGTTCCATCTCCAGTCCCACTAAAGAACAACAAATAAAATACTTTTAGAGAAAGAGTAGGGTGAGCATGGTGGTGAATGCCTGTAACTCCAGCTCCTGGGGAGGCTGAGGCAAGAGGATCACAATTCAAGGCCAACCTGGGAAATTCACCAAGACCATCTCCAAATTTTATACACACACACACACACACACACACACACACACACACACACACACACATCTGGGAATGTAGATCAGTGATGGAGCAAACCTGGGTTCAATCCCCAGTACCAGGGGGGAAAAAAGGTATATTGCATTAGTGTTAGTATTCTGATTGTAACAATTTATATTTCTTAAAATTGTATGAAACCATTCTTGTCTCAAAATTTTTTAAGTTTAAGAAATACTTCCATGGGCTGAGATATAGCTCAGATGGTAGAGTGCTTGCCTCGCATGCACTAGGCCCTGGGTTCAATTCCCAGCACCACACACACACCAAAAAAAAAAAAAAAAAAAAGAAAAAAAAGAAAAGAAATACTTCCAGCATGCACATAATTTGGAAGCCTTTTGGTTTCTACAGTAAGCATTCATACCTTTTATCGTCAAAAAACTATTTCTCATTTTGTAAATAAAACAGGAACAGAGGTGCAGTGAGGAGAGTATAATTCCATCCCTGAGTTTCCTTGACCAAAGAGATAAAGGCTTAACTTTCAAGGTCTCTAAGTCCGCCTGTGCCCCAAGCCTTTCAAGCCACCTCCCTAAATCTGAGACCACTCCTAAAACAAACAGCCGGAAGCTACTCTAGCCCAACTCGGAGGACCACGTCTTGTTCGCCTGGAAGGTTAAAAGCCTCTGGCTATTTATGGGTTAAAGAGTTGCTTGCTGGGCCCATTTCCGCTTAGCAAAGGGAAGGCCCTCTCTTCCCAACCCCTTCCTGGTTCCCACGCCCTCGGGCAACCTTGCCCTTGGGTATCCTCTGTCCCCATAGCCGACCTTCCTCTGCTATCCGAGCCCTCCATGGAGGACCCTGGTATCACTCGGGATGCTCGAAAGACCCGCAAACCGGACGAGAAGGGTTGTGCGATCGAGTTGTCTGGCCAGGAAGTCACTTCCGGTCGCAGACTCCCTCCCCCGGAAGCGGGGCCTGATGTAAACACCTGAGCTGGGCACCAAGGCCCGGGAGGTCAGAAAGCCGGGCCGCGGGCGGCACCGACAGCGAAGCCTGGGGTCAGGAACGCACTGAAGTCAGGTCGGTGAAGGCGGTGGGAAACTGGAGCACATCCCGGAGCTAATCGGGGTCACGGGGGGTGGGGTCTTGAGGAGGGTTCTTAGTAGGTTAGGGATCTGGGCCAGGGGTCTTAAAGTGAGTGCTGGTGTTGCAAGGGGTATGAGAGGAGTCTTAGAAGAGGCCTGAGGCATTCCGTGTAGGATTCTTGGGTGATGCTGGTACTTGGGATGGATGGAAGTCCAAAAAAGGGGTCTTGGAAGGAGGAGCTATCAAAAGTATAGGTCTTGGGGGAGTGAGGCTGTCAGATGGAGGGGGGAAAGGTAGGAGACTTTAGAAGATGGGCAGGGGAGTGTATCTAGGTAGAGGTCTTGAGGGAGATTGGATTTGAAGGGAGGATGGGGGCTCTTTAGGGCCCGAATCTTGGGAGGGGGGGAACCAGAACAGGCTTTTTTACAAGGTTAAGGTTTTCTTAGGAAGGGGTTTTGGGTGGTGTGTCCTGGGAACAGGTTTTTAGGGTTAGCTGTTCCCTGGAGCAGGGTCTTGGTGAGAGGATAGAGGGTTTAGAGAAGCACTATTAGGGGGATAGGGTGCCTGATGGTGGATCTAAGCCAGTTCAAGTAGGAGCCAGGGACAGCAGAGCACAAGAAATCAGATGTTCCAGGAGTGGAAGATTGAAAGTGATACAGGAATACTGAAGTAGGGTCTTCAGGTCATAATGGGATCCAGGGGAAAGTCTAAGCTGGCCTTGGTAGGCAGAGTTTGCAAGGTGTGAGAAGGAGTTGGGGAAGGTCTGTGAGGGAGAAAATTGTGAGAAAATTCAGATATATGAATGAGTTGCGGTAGAGTAGGAAGGGCATGAGGGAAGTTCCTGTGGGTGGTGGACCACACACTGCAGTCAGTCTCAGGAGGTGCAAGAATCAGTAAATGTATTTGACCCCTTTTCCCCTATATACTGACAGTCAGAGTTGGGTGCTGTATGCATGTGTGAAGATCAGAAGTGGGTAAGCAGTGGTTTGAGGCCACCTTAAGATTGGCTGGAGGTAGGGAGGAGGTATCACTGGGGCGTCCCCTACCACATTACTTCCTGTCAAGTCAGTAAGGGTCAGTGTCTAAGGAGGAGGTACAAGGACTAAGTCAGTATAGGCCTGGGTCTGGGATTGTGAAAATATGTGTGAGACAAAATAGGGTTCCTGGCCATTCTGTTTGGGGACTTTGGAGCTTAGAGAAGAGACTTTAGGACTCTCCTCCCATTTTATCTTCTCTGTAGTCTGGTCGAGAAGTTAGCAGAGTGGGGAGGAGAAGAAATCACTTAGGGACAGAAGTTCTAGGGTGTGGAGGGGAGATCCAGGACCCTTGTCAACTCTACACTATTGTATCTAGGGGTACAATCCTGAACCATGACTCAGCAGCCTCTTCAAGGGGTGACCAGCCTACGTTTCAACCAAGACCAAAGTGAGTAATGCTTGTACCTATACCCTTGAGGGAGGGGAGGAGAGAAGGGTCAGAGGTGGGCCATAGGCCTAAGCTCCCCTCTCCAGGCGTTCTGGATTCCTTCCATCCCCAGGCTGTTTTTGCTGTGCCATGGAGACAGGTGTGCGCATCTACAATGTGGAACCACTGATGGAGAAGGGACATTTGGGTGAGCCACTTAGTGGGGGAGGGGTGGTGGGCAGAAGGCTGGGCATTGGCACCTACCTCCACTGACATCCTGGTCCCTGTTCAGACCACGAGCAGGTGGGCAGCATGGGCCTGGTAGAGATGCTGCACCGTTCCAACCTGCTGGCCCTGGTGGGCGGTGGTGGCAGCCCCAAGTTCTCAGAGATCTCAGGTAAGTGCCCTCATCCTGCCCTTGACCCAGATTCCTCGGATTCCTGGCCTCCCACAGGAACCTGGGAAGCACTAGCAGATGAAGATGTCAGAGTACCTCAGATTCCCATAGTGAGGCCCACAGTTTGGAAGTTTGAGAAGCTTGATTTTTGTTTTCATTTTTAAAACACTTATTGGGGCTCAGGGTATAGCTCAGTGGTACAGTACATGCCTGAGATGCACAAGGCCCTGGGTTCAATCCCGAACACAACAAACACACTTAACCCAGTGCCCTCTGTGTGCCATGTTCTTACCTTTGGAACACTTGCTGTGATCCTGACACTGTCTTAAGCACTTCATCTGTATTGACTCATTTAATCCTCACAGTAACTCTGGTAGGAAGTATCATGATTCTTCCCCCTCCTATTTTTACAGTGCTAGGGAGAGAACCTATGACTGTCACATTTTAAGCCACACATTTTTATCAATGAGGAAACTGAGGCCCAATGAGGTTGACTTGCCCAAGATCACACAATCAATAGTTTTTTCACACCTTGGTGTTGTCTTTCAAACACCTCCTTGGCTTGAGCCTTAAGTGCCATCTTGTTTTAGGGTATTTTCTTGTCAATCCCACCACAGCATGGGAAGAATTGTCCTAGGTGAGTCACAGAGCCCTAGGATTCCTCACAGAAATCTCTGAGGGGTATGGACTGAGACCCTGGAGGTAGATATGGTTGCTGAGGGAAAGTTATAAGCCTGGGTATGAGCCCCTTCTTGGTTGTTTATGGGCTGTAAGGTCCCTGGTCAGACAAAACCCCTTCAAACCCTAATTTCCTCATCACCAAACAAGCATAATAGTTCTAGAACCTAGTCCCTCAAGGACCTTGCCCACAGTGATCATGCTATGCAAAGCTCACATTGGGGGTTTAGTGAAAGGCCAAGGGAGTGGGGTAAGGTCCAATGGAGAGAAGGGGTGGGTCCTGTGTCACCAGGGCTGCCCCTCACCCTAAACCTTGGCCCCACCAACCCATCCACCTGCCCAGCAGTGCTGATCTGGGATGATGCCCGGGAGGGCAAGGACTCCAAGGACAAGCTGGTGCTGGAGTTCACCTTCACCAAGCCAGTGCTGGCTGTGCGCATGCGCCATGACAAGTGAGCCTGAGGAGGACTGGGGTGGAGGGCAGGAGGTCCCCAGAGCAAGTGAAAAAGTGAGTTCTATCTGGGCAGCCTACCCTCCCTCCTCTCATGGCCATCCTGTGTTGTGATGCCCACAGGATTGTGATCGTGCTGAGGAACCGTATCTACGTGTACTCCTTTCCTGACAATCCCCGAAAGCTGTTTGAATTTGACACCAGAGACAACCCCAAGGGTGAGAGGACCCAGATATGCAGGTGTAAGGGTGTGAGCCCAGGAGCGGGACAGAGATAGGAGAAAAAGGAAGGGAGCACATACAAAGAATAGGAAGAGGGGTTGTGGCTCAGCAGTAGCACACTTGCCTGGCATGTGTGAGGCACTGGGTTCGATTCTCAGCACCACATATAAATAAATAAAATGAAGGTCTATCAACAATTAAAAAAATACTTTTAGAAAGTATCGCTATGGATTTATGAATTGTTATAATTAAAGTGTAATAATCTGTGTGATGTATTTTTAAAAATTAGGAAGAGAAGTCAGGCATGGTGGCTCATGTCTCTAATCCTAGCTACTCAGGATGCTAAGTTCACAGCCAGCCTGGTCAACTTAATGAGACCCTGAAAAGACTGGGGATATAGCTTAGTGGTAGAGCATCCCTGAGTTCAATCCCCAGTACCATGGGGAAAAGAACAGGGAGAAAGGCTTCATGCACAGAGATGCTCAAATGGGCTGAAGGGTGCAGTCTATTCATCCTTCTATTCCACTGTTCTCTCTCCCCACCTTCAGCACTGTCCCATCTCTGGATGCCTCAGATGAGAGCAGAAACACCTAGTGAAGATGTGGGTGGGTGTGTTAGGGAGTCCTGGGCTTCTAGGCTGTCATAGAAGCATATTAGAAACCACAGCTGCTTCGGGGAGGATAGGAATCTGGTGGGGAGTGCAGCTGAACAAAATTCTGCCACCACTCTCACTCTACCCCCAGTTTCTATAGATAACATGTACCCATTATGGAGATTTGAAGTTTGGTCCTTACCCAAATCTGCCCATTTCGAGAGACTGTACCCTCACCTTTCTCCTCTTCGCCTGCCCATCCTTCCTGCATACTCACACCCTAGGGCTCTGTGACCTCTGTCCCAGCCTGGAGAAGCAACTGCTTGTATTCCCAGGACACAAGTGTGGAAGTCTGCAACTTGTGGTGAGTTGTCCAGTGGGCAAGAATACAGGTGGGCTGGCTCTCCCTGTGGACTCTTGGCTTCTCCCCTCCATGCCACTCCAAGGCCAAGCAGCTCCCTCCTACCTCAGGATCTGGCAAGCACAAAGCCTGGCACCTCATCTGCTCCTTTCACCATCAATGCACATCAGAGTGATGTAGCCTGTGTGTCCCTGAACCAGCCAGGCACTGTAGTGGCCTCTGCCTCCCAGAAAGGCACCCTTATTCGCCTTTTTGACACCCAGTCCAAGGAAAAACTGGTGGAGCTGCGACGAGGCACTGACCCTGCAACCCTATACTGGTGAGCACAAGATATGTATGGTGGGGTGGTGACCCCATGACACACATTACATGTGCACTTGGCTGGTCTGTCTTCCAGCATTAACTTCAGCCACGACTCCTCCTTCCTCTGCGCTTCCAGTGATAAGGGCACTGTCCATATCTTTGCTCTCAAAGATACCCGCCTCAACCGACGCTCTGCGTGAGTACCTTCTGTCTCACCCTGTATCATCCCCACCCCCCTGCCCATGTACCCCACCTGGGCTTACCCAGTGCTGCCTGCAGGCTGGCTCGTGTGGGCAAGGTGGGGCCTATGATTGGGCAATACGTGGACTCTCAGTGGAGCCTGGCCAGCTTTACTGTGCCTGCTGAGTCAGCATGCATCTGCGCCTTTGGTCGCAATACGTCCAAGAACGTCAATTCTGTAATTGGTGAGTGGAAAAAGCCCCTTGGTTTGGGGTACTGCATGGGCAAAGGTCTGCAGGTTGGACCAAGAAGAATTTGAGGGCCATCAGAAGCCTGAGGGAGCTGGAGTGTGTGGCTCAACACATCATCAGTAAGGGGTATGGCACTTGGGCAAAGGACTTGGAGGTAGACCCTAGACCATGGGACACCTGAGAAGGCTGCAGTGTGTGACTGTGGCAGCCCTTAACCTTTTACCACCCCTCCCATCCCCCCAGCCATCTGCGTAGATGGAACCTTCCACAAATATGTCTTCACTCCTGATGGAAACTGCAACAGAGAGGCTTTCGACGTGTATCTTGACATCTGTGATGATGATGATTTTTAAGGACCCTGGGGGACGTGCTAGGAACCTGCAGTGACAGATGATAGAACTGAACCTTGAGGGTGGGGAAGTGCTGTGGAATTCACCAACCATCAAGCATTAATGGGGCCTGTGCCACTCTCCACTCAGCAGAGAGATGTCTAGATAAACAGCTCACTTCCTCCAAGAACTTTTTGATGATTGCCCCAAGGCCCAGGCCTGGGACTGGGAAGCCGGCAGATTCCCTGGGGCTCCTCGCCTGGAAAGATTTGCCAAAGACTCAAGAGGGCGTGTCTTAATCCAACCTAGGGATTTAAAAAAGCTTTCCAGGAAAAGATGATCTTTGATGTAATGGATGTGAATAAAAGGCCCTTAAAGGCATTTACGGCTTGACCTCAGGGGTGGGGCTCTGAGTTGGCCAGAGAGGTGTGACCCTCTCTGGATCCTGACAGGAAGTGGAATCCTGCTCGGGTTCTTCTGAAAGTCCCAGCGGCCTTACATCTCCGGTCTTGCTATCGAGTGCTTGAGCCGCCATCCCCGCCCAGTAATGCTCCCAATCTCGATGCCCCGCCTAGGGGCGGTTCAAAATTTGAAGAGTTCCCAGAACCTCGTTGCGCGGCTGAAGCATCATTTCCCAGCAGCCTTTGCTGCCTTACTTGCCGGCAAATTATTTGCATTTCCGGTCACATGCGCATCTGCGCAGTATATCTATGTGGTTTGTTTTAGACTCCATTTCCCGGGGTGCCCCGCGCTGCCGCGGGGTATAACGGGTGTTGTAGTCCGGCCGCCCTCCGGGCTGGTCCAGCAACCCGCAGGATGTCGGAGGTGCGGCTGCCACCGCTACGCGCCCTAGACGACTTTGTTCTGGGATCAGCACGTCTGGCTGCTCCGGATCTATGCGACCCGCAGCGATGGTGCCACCGCGTCATCAACAACCTCCTCTACTATCAAACCAACTACCTTCTCTGCTTTGGCTTTGGTCTCGCTCTGGCTGGGTGAGGGAGGGAGGCAACGGTTGGCTGGGGATGCCAGCAGGGCATAGAGGGTGGACCTCTTGGTCTTTGAGGACTGGGAGGGGGAAACCTAAGGAAATGCTGAGGCAAGAAGGGTGAATATGGCAGAAGTGGAAGGCCTAAAGTACACGGAAGGAAGTGAATCCAGGTTATAAGGAAGGCCTGCGGGGGATGGATGGAGGGTCTGGAGGAAAGATCTAGGGAGGATGGAGAAGTGTGGAACTGAAGGGGAAAGTGGGCTTGGAGATGGACCTGAAGATAAAGAGGTACCTGTTGGGGAAGTTGGTCCCAGAGGGAGGACCCAGGGTTGAAAAGCCTGAGATCAGAGGGATGGAGAATCTAAATAGAAGAGGGACTTAGGCAATCAAGAGTGGGGTTCTTAACTTGGAAGTTAAGCATGGGACTGAAGACCTGGAGTTCTAGCAATGATGATGGAGGAATCTACTGGGAAATGGGAGCTTGGAGGGGACATTTGATGTGGAGGATGCCTGGAAGGTGGTCCTGTAAAGACCCTGGGCCTAGGGAGAAAGAAATGTGTGACAGGATTTGAGGCCTGAATGCTGGATCTGCAGGGGCTCGGCTCAAATGGAGGATGTGGGGTGAGGTGAAGGTGGGGTTGCTGGAGAAGGATCCCTGCTCAGGAGTTGGGGGTAGAGTCAGAAGAAAGACCCAGGAAAGTGTTAGGAGCCCGGGGCATCTAGTGAGATGGGAAGACCAAAATCAGGGAACAGGAAATTCAGACTGTAGGATTGACACACAGGAAATGCGGGTCCATAGGAATCTGGTGGATGGACCTGTCGGGGACAGAGCTGGCCTGAGTGTTTGCCGGGCTGGAGGGTCCAGAAACGGGGATCTACGCTCTTGGGGCCCAGGACCCAGGTGAGACTAGCTTAGTGCCCTTGTTCCCGCAGGTACGTGCGTCCGCTGCACACGCTCCTGAGTGCGCTTGCAGTGGTGGTGGCCCTCGGCGTGCTGGTGTGGGCGGCTGAGACCCGCGCAGCAGTACGCCGCTGCCGCCGCAGCCACCCAGCAGCCTGCTTGGCAGCAGTACTTGCCGTCGGTCTCCTCGTTCTCTGGGTCGCGGGTAGCGCTTGCACCTTCCTGATCAGCATCGCCGGGCCGGTCCTTTGTGAGTCTTCACTACCCTGAAATGGCAGGGGAAATGGCCAGCGCGCTTAAGTCGGCAGGCCCGCCCTGTGCTGGTCCGTGGGCTGAGAGGGGGCTGGGAAGCAGACTAGAGAAGCAACACAAGGGCAGCAAGGCCTCTGTTAAGTGCACCTTCTTTGGCGCTGCTCCCCACTTAAGAGTACGCCTCTCTTATTACCACCTTCTCGGGTCTCCTGGTGTTAAGTGCCTTAAACTGGCCACGTCCCTGTTATTGGACTCCCTTCCTGGCCACGCCCCCATGTAAAGATAACTACTCCAGAGGCGTCCTTGCCACTCTACTTGATGATTGGCCTGCCAGTGAGCCAATTCCCTCCAGTGGGCCCTGACTGGCTGAAAAATAAGGGCCCTTCCCACTGACCCGACTCCTCTGGATACCGCCCACAGTGATCCTGGTGCATGCCTCGCTGCGCCTGCGCAACCTTAAAAACAAGATCGAGAACAAGATCGAGAGCATTGGTCTCAAGCGAACGCCAATGGGGCTGCTACTAGAGGCCCTGGGACAAGAGCAGGAGGCTGGATCCTAAGGGCCTGGAATCTGCACCCAAGGGCCTAGAGAACAGCATCCCACCCCAGCCCATACCTGGGACCCAGAGCCCTTTCCCAGACTTTAAGATAGGAGCCTAGAACCCCTAGTCCAAACAAGACCTCTGTGAATGTGCCCCACATGCAAAATCAGGATTTCCTTGGATCCAAACCCCTATTATTTAGATACCAGAGACTTCTCCAGCCCCGAACTTGGGACCCACAGCCACCTACATTCACCTCCAAAACTGGGGCTCGAGACCAGAGCATCCCTGACCAATCTCAAACTATGGACTCAAGAGATACCCCCCAACCCAAATTTGGGATTCACTGGTATTCCATTCTGGGATCCCATGCCCAGGGCAAGGAATTCTCAACACAAGATACCCGGACCAAGGCTTTTCTAGCCCCACCCCTGCTTTGAACCAGATTAAGGCATTGCCAAATCTTGACCCCCAAACCAAGTGTTCTCAGGCCTCACCTGGGTGGAGTCAGAATACCTGGCTGTTGGATCCTTGGTCCCAGGTGATCCCCCAACCCTCACAAGTCCCAGTAGCTTCCCTCCAGCTCTCCAGATTTGGTTCCTTTCCCCAACATTCCAGTGTCAAGGACCAAGGGGTGGAGAAGCCCCAGCAGGGAAGAGGATATCTGTATCAGTATTACTGCAACAATAAAGCCGTTTCATCTATCAAGCCAGTTTGGCCTCCTGAGTGAAGTTCTTGTACCTTTCAATGGACAGGGTGGTCTGCTCTTCAATTCTGCTAGCCTCTACCTGATTAGGTCTCCCTGTCAAGTGTGTAGGATGAAGGGCTTAGGCCCTTTCTCAAAACTTTTACCTCTGGATGATCAATAAAGCATGGGGAGGTTAAGGGAATAGAGTGTATACTATCACCATTTTGAATTACTAAGAAGAGCTGGGTGTGCTGGCCCCCACCTGTAATCTCAGTGACTCAGGAGTCTGAGGCAGGAGGACAGTAAGTTTGAGGCTAGCTTGGTAACTTGGCAAGACCTTGTCTCAAAGTAAAATAAATAAATAATAAAAAGGACTGGGGATGTAGTTCATTGGTAGAACATTCTGGGTTCAATCCCCAGTACCTAAAAAAAAATTTCCTGTTTGAGATGGTCTAGGAATCTTAGAGCAGACAGGCAAAGTTGTCCCACATCACAAAGCAAGCCAAAACAGATGACACTGTTGCAGGCTATCCTGTATTTTTCTTCCTGTAAAAATGTATTAATGAGAGGTGTGGGCCCCAAGGCAAAGCAGACTAGAGAAGCAACACAAGGTTCAATTTACACATTTATTATAGAAATCTCCTTCCAGTATGGGTAGTGTCTTGGTCCCAGATCCACTGGTACAAAAAGAAAAATTTTAACACTAGGTAAAGGGGGTAGGGGAACCCCCAGCTCCAGAAAGTCACAGACAGGTATCATAGAAAACACAGCTTGTGTTGTTTAAAAAGTAGTGAATGGAAGGAAAGCCAAGGAGGATGTGACGTGGCCTGTGGCCCATGGCCAGACGTCACCTGAGGATTGTACTGGCATCTACCAGATGCCAGGTTCAACCACCACAGCATCCCAGGATGCAATATACTGAATGGCTCTGCCCCTTGTTAGCCTCCTACAGGGCCTCCTGATTGGGAATGATCAGCACAGAGAGGGATAGGGCACCCCACCCAGAATTTAATCCTTCCAAATGTGGGCAGAAATCAAAACTGCCCTGGTTTGGGGAGTGGCAGGGAGTTCTGTTCACAACAGAGTCTCCTGACTACCCCCCAAAAGGATCCTAACATTGTGGAGGGGGTGGACCTGAACAGAACAGGTTGGGCAGGGGAACAGGAATGAACCCAACCAGGATGAGCTCACAGTTTCCCTTTTATAAAATGCCTAGTATTGGGCAAAGACAGTGAATACTAAATCACAACTGTAAACAGAAATGGAGGAAGGGGATTGGAATCCCTATTGCATCATTCACTCTCCTTGAAGCTGGCTGAGGTCCCCCAGTCCCCAGCACAGTGTGAGAGAAGCAGGGTACTAGACACCTTCCTGGGCCCATGGAGAGCCAGGGGCCTTGGAAGATCAGGTTGGTGCCCCGCCCAGGAGTGAGAGCAACCACATCCCAGGGCTCAGCGAGGTCGGCTCTGTGCTCCCAGGACTAGAGCCATGCCCAGACCAACAAGGGGCATATCAGAAGGGGTCAGACCAGTGTCCCTGGGGTCTGGGGGTCAGAACTGGAAGACTGGTTCCCCTATAGTGCAGATCACTTAAAGGAGCCTTTAGCTGGGGGCAGGGTGGGGTACAGGAAGTCTGGTAGTATCTTTAGAAGGGGACAGCAGGAATCCGGAGGACAGGGTAGGGAAGACAGAAGAGAGAGGAAAAGACAGACAAGACACAGAAAGAAAGAAGAAAAGAGTCTCGTTAAAGAGGTGGAGGCAGGCACAGAAAAGCACCTTTATGCTCCCGAGCATGGGGCATGGAGAAAAGAGGAAGAGAAAGGTGAGGGCACATGACGTCCCTTCCTCCCAGCACCCTGGCTTCAAGGCTCATTTCCAGCCAACATGCACTGGTTAAAATATTAAACTCCTTCTAGGACTTGGTAAGGAACTGCTTACCAGTGCCCAGGATCCCCCTCTACCAGGACCCCAAGGCCTAGTGCAGGTCACACCTGGAAATGACCTGTGTCAACACTGCAGCTAGTTTCCTTGTGGTCCCAGTCATTAGCTATCATGACTAGCTGATCCCTGGCCTGAATATCTTCACCAATTGCTTCAAGAGACCCCTACTCATCAGTAAAAGCACCCCCCATACCTGCTGGAAACGGGGGGTGCCGTGAAACTCCTCGAGTGCGGGAGCGGAGCCTGGCTGGGGCCCCCGTACAGCGCCTGGCCCACCTCATAGCAGCGGGCATGAAGGAAGGGTGGGTGTGGTGGGCCCACGTGAGGGAGCATAGGCCGGCGCTGGGGCCCCATGGCCAGTCCCGAGTTCCGGATGTACCAGTCCCGCAGCCCCTCCAGGGCAAGGTTCTTGTGGCCACTGCGCTCACCCGTCGGGGGGATCCGGGTGGGTGGGGGCATCCATAGCAGAGGGTTTGAATGCACCTCTGGACCCTCAGCAGCTTCCAGGGGCAGGCCACAGGGCTTGGTACGGGTGGCACGGGTGTGGGGGTCCTTGCTGCGGAGGAGGGGGCTGCTGCCATCAGCTGCATACATGGGTGGTGGGCCAGGGAGCATGGCGAGGAGCCCATCCCGGCGGGAGAGTGGTCCTGGGACCTCAGCTGCAGGCAGCAGCTCCCCCCAGCCTGCCCCACCGCCACTGCGGGGCAGGCCTCGGTCCAAGGAATAGTCCAAGAGGAAGTCCCCACACACAGGTGGGAGCCGGGGGGCTCCACGGGAAGCAGGGGCAGCTGAGCTAGGCCTGGCGGCCCGGGGAGGGTCTGGGGGCCCTGCTGTGCGAGAGGAGAAGGCAGGGGTTGGTTGGGGGCGCTCATACAGCACCTCACTGCTCTTGCAGACTGGTGGGCCAGTGGCAGGGGGAGCCAGAGGAGCAGGCAGAGAGCCAGCTCCCCCAGCAGCAGCCCGGTCCACCAGCAGGGCCTCAGAGCTGTTGCTGCGGCGAGTGCGAGCTGCGAAGAGGGAGGCGCGATCTGAGGCAGGGTCCGCCCGGGGGAAGCCCATCTGGGAGTCTTGGCTGCCGGACCACTGTCGAGAATGGAGGCCTTCGGGCCTGGGGTGCAGAGGTGAGGGTAATGGGAGTAAGGTCAAAAATTATCAGGCAAGTGGTTTGAATGCCCTCCCCACACCATCTCTTTCTGAGCCTCCACTTGCACATCTCTAAAATGGGCCCAGGATCAGAAATTGGATGCATGAAGGTGTTAGGTAGGACAGCTGGAATTTGGTCCCAGACTGGGGGCCCCTGGGGTTGGAAATGTATAGACAGAAAGGGCAGTTAACACTAAGGGAGATGCAAATATGTATAGGGCTGGGGAGAAAATATTAGCAGAGGAGCAGTCAAACAGAGCGTTCTTCCTTATCCCCTAACCCTAACCCTCACTACTTTCAGGACCAAGTCCTAGTCCTTAGGCCTGGAATTTAAGACCTGCCTAAACTCTGTGCCACCATGTTTATGAACTGCCTAAAACAATCATCCCAACAGCCACCATGCACAGAACACAGGCCTCAAAAACAGAGGGATTTGGTTTTGTTTGCAACCTGGGAAAGTAGGTACTTAATAAGTCCTACTGTTTAAGAAACAACAGAATAAACCAGGCGTGGCGGCACATGCTTGTAATCCCAGTGGCTTGGGAGGCTGAGGCAGGAGGATCACAAGTTCAAAGCCAGCCTCAGCAACTTAGCAAGACCCTGTCTCAAAATGAAAAGGTCTGGGGATGTAGTTCAGTGGTAGTATCCTTGGATTCTTCCCCAGTACCAAACCAAACCAAAGCAGACAAAACAAAGAGTATATAGTATAGTGATTAAATGTACAGACTCCAGAGTCAAGATTGCCTGGGTTCAAACACCAGGATTTCAGTTTACTAACCAGCTCATTAACTAACCCTCTGTGCCTCATCTGTAAAACAGGAATGACAAGACCACAGCTCTCAGAGGGAACTTGTGATGATTAAATGAGTTGATATCACACAAAACACTGATTACTAGCAGACAGTATAGGCACCCAGGACATGTTGCCCAGAAATTATTATGCCTGTGTCTCTCAAAGGCAGATGTCATTGTGCCTGTTTCACAAATAAGGACACAAGGATTCAGAGATGAGAAGACATACGAAAAAGAAACATACTCAAACATTTGTGCTTCTGCACCCAATTCCCACCCTGTTCTCCAAGACAACTTCTATTCACCTTTTAAACCCAGTTGCCCATGCCCCCACATTTTGATAATTTCTTAACACTTCCAGTTAAAACTAACAGTTCCCTTCTCTGATCCTCAGACCCTCCCTCAGAGTCCCCTTACTTGCAGAGCTGGGGGCCAGTGCCCCGGGTGAGGACAGGGGTGGCAGGCACACTTCGCCCCTCAAAACTTTGGAGGCACTCCTGGGCAGGGAGCGTGTGGGGCTGATGGGGCTGGTCATAGAGTTCCTCCTGCTCTTCAGATCCCCATAAAGATCTGAAGGAGGTGGTTTCCATGGGGTTCGTCGCTCAGGGCTCCCCCCAGATACTGCTCGCAGCTGGTCCCAAGCCTTTGGTGGCGAGGGGCGCTCTGCCAGAGAGAAGCAGCCACGGGGTTCCTCTGGATGGAAGGAGAGAATGGGGTAGAATTCAATTAGAGAAGGTCAGAAGAGGCAGTATGGATTGGGGCGAAGCAACAGGGAGGGACTAGAGAAGTAAGGAAAGGGCAAGAGCTAGGACACGATTAAGCAAGCTAAAGAAATAAGGGGGTGAGGGATATGATGAAGCTAAAATGGGGGGGTGGTACAACCAGATGGGGCATGGCTAAGGAGGAGCTAAACAAGTAAGGGTCTGAGCAACAGGATGGGCTGAGGAGACAGAAAAGGGAACTGTGGGCAGGTTTGGGGAATAGGAGTCCTCACCATTATCATGGCTGGCCCCAGACTCTGAGAGGGAGCTGCTCTCCGAGTGCAGAACTACATCTTCTACAGGTGAGAAGGGGGAGAACCAGGCCTATCACTCCAAGATCTGGGTACCAATCCCTTACACCACTGAATGGGCTCTTCTGCTTAGCTCACCTTCTGGAGTATACCATCTCACCCTGTTCCCTCTCCCAAGAATCCACCTTTATCCGAATGCATGACCACCACAGGCTGGGTCTTCACTTTCCTGGTGTCTAGTGCTCAATCCCCTAGGGCCTGCCCTTACCTGTGAGTCAGTTTCTATAATTCTTCTCATTCAGTGGCTCCCTTAAATTCTGGGTTTCACTGGCTGCTCATCCATGCCACCCCTACCACTTCCACTACTGAAAAGAGTCCCTCCCTGGCCCATTTTCCCATTCTCACTGGTAGGGTGCTGAGGCCTGGCTCACCTTGGCTGAGCTGAGCTAGGCGTGTGCCCAGGCAGACTCCCTGGGTGGTGATAAGTGCCCCTGCAGACAGTGGCAGTGGCTGGGGAGGGAGAACTGGGAGGCCAAGGCGGGCCCGGACATCCCCCAGCTGCTCCTCCAACTCATGCAGCCTTCTCAGTGCATCCGCCTGTACCTGGCGCCTGCGTCGCCGCTGTTCACCACTCAGCTCAGGGGCTAGGGCCAAGCGTCGGGCAGCGGCTGCAATCTGCTGCTGCACCGACACTTCCCGTTCCAGCTCCTACAGGACCCAAGATGGGTAGAAAAGAACCAAATGTTAGAAATTGCCAGGCACAGGGGCCAGAGAGTGGAGGAGCCCATCTACACTGGAAGTGCAGCTTGCTCTTCCTGTGGGCAGACCAATTTGCCTAGGGGTGAAGCTTAAGCATTCTCTGGCAGAGGGGTCCATATTGATGAGGGGTAGGGCCTGTTGTCTTTTGAAAGTGGCTAACCTGTCCTGAAAGACGTAGGGACTAGCATTGTTCCAAGAATCCAACTCCTGAAGATTTTTCCCTTCTTATCTTAGCCTCTCCCTCCCCTGGCCACAACCTCCTCCCCATCCCAAGCCTGGTGCTGTTACTTCCCCTCACCATCTTACTTTCCACACCCATCTGCTCACCTCAACAGGGCACAAGGAGTGATGTGCTGGATTGGGATGCAGTGGAGGGTAGGCACGGGCTGCAGGGGGCCGACGGCGCACCAACTGGGGCCGTTCGCCAGGTTCCAGTGGGCACTCAGGGGGCAGCTGGCCAGTCAGCTCCTGGAGGGGCCGGGGAGGGAGAGAGACTACCAAAGGTTAGTTAGGAAGATGGACTAAAGCAGTGATGATCCCAGAAGGTACAGAAGTCCTCCAAGGAGCCTGGCCCTTCTCAGCATCCCACACATTGTTTTTCTTCCTTCTCCCAAGATCTCCACCAAGGGGGTGGGCAGTGTAGACTCTCATCCCCTCAATAGCCCAAATTCCTGAGGTATGTGCGTGGGAGGCTGGGTAGCCTGCTTTATAGTCCAGAAGCTTTTAGTTTTTACAAAGGCAACACATTCTATATATTGCATATTAAAAACACTCCCTTCAAGGTTTCTAGCAAGCTATGAGGGCATTCACAATAAGAAGGATAAATCAAACCTAGAAATCATCCCATGACAGTTCAGAGTAGGCCTTGCTACCAAATTCTGGACACAGCCTTTTAAAAAATTTTTCTTTCTCTCTCTCTCTCTCTCTCTCTCTCTCTCTCTCTCTCTCTCTCTTTCTTTCATTATAGTTGGGCATAATACCTTTATTTTATTTATTTATTTTTATACGGTGCTGAGGATCAAACCCAGCACCTGGCACATGCTAGTACGCAAGCACTCTACTGCTGAGCCACAACTCCAGCTCCTGTTTGTTTATTTTTGTTTGTTTGTTGAGGATCTGGAGGTTTTAAAGGGTAGACAAGAGACTGTAGGCCTGTATCACCATATTTCACTGATTCTAAGAAATCTCAGTTGAGCTTTGAGAAGACAGAGGGTGACCTACAGTCCAGATAAGTGGTTTAGCAATTTCCACCACAGTCTGTCTATCTAGGGGTCCCAGCCCCTCACCCCCTCCCACTTGACATCCCTCAGGCCAAGCTCTTACCGCCTCCTGGAGACACACTTTTCGGAGATCCTGAAGTTTCAGGCTCAGGGCCTCTTGCAGGGCCCGCTGCCGGTCAAGCAGTCCCCTCAGACGCTCTGACTTCACCTGGGGGGCAGCCTCTCCAAAAAGGGCAGCTGGACAGAAAAAACAAAGATCAATGGGACAACTGGGCAATCCTGAAGCAGTTGTGGGGCCAGGTACCAACCTTTCCCAAACAGACAAGTGGTGATGGAGAGCAGGGGAAGAGGCCACAAGAAGGGGAAACCAGCCACCAACCTGAGGCATTGAAGGTAGGAGAGCTGATCAGCTGACCTTTGACTTCCATCCTGGTGCTGTCAGGAGGCCGTGGCTGATGGTGGACAAGGCCTAGCAGTGACACACAGGAGCCATTAAGAAAGGACATCCCATGATACTCCGGTACCCAGCCCAACTCAGCTTCCCACACTCCAGCTGGGAATACAAAGTGCCCTGGGCCCCACCCACCTGCCTGGCCTGGCCTCTGATTCTGTGTCAATGACTGGACCCACACTGCCCTGGTACCTTGGTTCCCTTCCCATTGAGTGGGAACACAGCAAGTGGGAAGCTGGGCAGACTTACAGGTGTAAGTCTGTAAGTCTACTTACTCAGAGGCCCATGGGCCACAGCCGGGAGTCTTGCCTAGAGAGAGAGAAATGATGGTAAAGATTCAATCAAGTATCACACTAGTTGGAACTTATTTTTTTTATTTTTTAATTGATTTTATTTTTTGGTTTTTTTTTGGGGGGGGGTTTGGCTCTTGACATATCATATTTCATACATTTGATTCAAGCGTGATTTTATTTATTTATTTATTTATTTTTTAATTGGTCATTCAWAACATTACATAGTTCTTAATACATCATATTACACGGTTTGATTCAAGTGGATTATGAACTCCCCCTTTTACCCCGTATACAAATTGCTGTATCACATCAGTTA